GTGAAAATTCCAACAAACAAATAATGTATCGGCTATTTTTTAAAAATCAGGATAAAAAAAATGTAACGACAAACATATACATTTTTAAATGTATTTACTAAGCTATTATTTTCCAAATAAGTAAATAGTTGTGACAAATTAGTAGTTTCCTTTTACATAACAAAAAAAAAGTAATTTATAAGAGCAATTCAAAACTCTAATTTTCACTCGAATTGTACGAGTTTTTACAATTCAGCAATTACTTAACACAAACAAAAGTTGCATAATTTACCCATAAGTAAATAAGAAGGCTTTACACGGGCTCCTTTTGATTTGGGCTTTAAGTTTTTGGGCTAACAATCGAATTAAACCAGAAGGGCATTTTCGTAATATTCTCAAATTCGAAATTTGAGAGAAACTTGGGAAGTGGGGTACTGAAAGTGGTGGATAATGGGGGATGATTGATAACTGCATCTAACCGTCACTACAAAACCGAAAAGAAAACTTCCGCACAAGAACACAACAAAAAAATAAATCGAAACTTTGAGAGAGATTTGATGAAACAGAGAGATTGGATTATCAAAAGATGAAGAAAACGGAAGCAACGAAGAAGGAAGAGATTAAGAAAGGTCCATGGAAAGCCGAAGAAGACGAAGTATTAAAGAACCATGTCAATAAATACGGTCCTCGTGATTGGAGCTCCATTCGATCCAAAGGTCTTCTTCACCGTACCGGAAAATCTTGCCGTCTCCGTTGGGTCAATAAACTCCGACCCAATCTCAAAAAGTAAACCTTTTTTCCTTTTTCTTCAATTCTTCACTCTGTTTCTTCAATTCTGCTTCAAAGTTAGGGTTTTTTGTGTGTTTTTGAAGTGGATGCAAGTTTACTGTGGAGGAAGAGAGGACGGTGATTGAGTTACAATCGGAGTTTGGTAACAAATGGGCGAGAATCGCGACGTATCTACGGGGAAGAACTGATAACGATGTGAAGAATTTCTGGAGTAGTAGACAAAAGAGACTCGCTAGGATTCTACATAACTCTTCCGATGCATCGAGTTCGAGTTTCAATCCTAAATCTTCTTCGAATAATCGAAACAAGGGCAAAAACGTCAAACCAATCCAATCGTTTAATCCCTCTCAGGTACTAACTAATAACCAAATTCATAAAAGTTTAAACCTTTTTTGTTTCTCTAGAGGATTCTCATTTTCTCAAATT